ATATCAGGATACATACACACTGTCAAAATAGTGAGGTTTACATTAAGATAAAGGGTGGGTGATACTATGGATAAAACTATTGTATCACAGTATATGCAATTTATATTATATACGTATATATATAATACTACTCATGTTGTGGTGAATCGTATGCAAATGTAGTTATAGATATTGATTCATTATTGTATACATATATAAATAATCAACTGGTAATGCCTTCTTTTGTAAATTCATAGTCACATAGACAAGTTATTTTCTTAGACAATCTGTCTCCCATTATGCCTTTTTTATGTCCAGAAAATACTGTCACCACTGCATTTGGAAACTTTTTACCTACTTCTGCATTCAAACTGTTGTGGTATTTGTAGTTAAAGTGCTGCCTCAGCTACATGTTGTGCTGATAATGAAAAGCAGTTTTGTTATCAGAGTGACTTGGTGGAGTCTCTGCTTCTATCAGTAAACTGTACAAGCTACAACTCAAAAAAGAATTAAGAAACTCACAGTTTATGTGCTCCACAAACATCAACGACCAACTTTTCTACAGCTACTTCCTGCATTTTCAGAGTCTTTGTTGTTGTTGGCTGCCTATGTATTGTCAATCCCGACTTCTATTTTTTATGTTATTTAGTCAGTCACTGTCACAAATGCTTCTGTAAGATGTTGAACTGTGCTGCTTAAAAAGATCCCAGGCACAGCACTTTTTCCAAAGCAACTGCTTTCTGTCTGCCTCGCGGCTGCTTTCCGTACACTTTAAAAGTGGAAAAGAGTTTGAAAAAAAGCAGAACAGTGTGAACACGTCTTACAGTGGCGATCACACCAGAGCCTTTGAAAAGGCACGGAATAGCGTTCCTGGAGTGTTCTCTGGAAAGCAGACTGCTGAGCATTTTATTTCTGTGCTACTAGCATAACCCATTTTTAACACTGTGTGTGTTGTGCATTCATGTCTCTTTTGTCACGTCTGCTATCCAGGGCTTCTTCAACTCCTGTAGAATTTTAAACAACACTGATAGAAATCTTCACTGCACCCGACTCTGGTCACAGTGATTTGCACTTTACATGGCTTCAAGCCTGCCTATAGTTACGTATAGTGTGGCTCAGTCACACACGCTCAGAATGCAGTTTGTGGTAATGCAATACTCTTTTTATAAGATTGATGAGTTGAACTACAGGACAGGAGTAGTGTTTGTTCCCCACATTCCGCTTGCAATTAAGTTTTGTTTGCCTAAATATAACTTGATAAATGCCTTATCCAATCTTTCATCTGCTCTTTTCACTCTGTTGCATTGTCCATTCTCTCCCCAGCATACAATGAAGTCAAATTACTTGAAACGGACTAGGTGTAACAGTAAAATACAAAAAAGAGTTTATTGAGCCAATAACTGCCTTATATAAAGTGGAAATTATTCTATACAATATATTTCTGCATAGGAATTTCTTGACCTGTACTTTATCATGTAAAGTGTGTACATCTATCTTTCTTTGTTTCCCTCTTTCCCTCTCCTCCTCGCTCACTGTTAAACTGTAAGATAGATCATTAGCTTTAAATGGACTTCAATCCGCTCATTACATGTCCCATTTACCTTCACTGCATAACGCTCTACTTTTCATAACGAGGCAGAAAAAGAGAGGGAGATAGGGGCAGAAAGAAGGAATGCACATGTTGGAAGATCTAGACAGAATGAGAACGGGAAAGAAAAAAGTGTGTACTTGAATAAAAGAGTTAGTCAACAAGAGAGTTAGGAAGTGTTGAGATGAGGCCAAAAATAAAAAAGACAGGTATGTAGAAAGACGGATCATTCCAACCAGAAAGGCATTAAAATCTGTGAATTCGGAAAAAAGAAGAGAACCTGTACTTTATTTTTGTGTTGGTACATTCTCTACTAATAGTGTAAAATATCTACTGATATTGAAAACACCTCAATTGAAAACTGAAAAGATCATCATGATAATGACTATGCTTCAGTCCGTTGTTTCTTTCCCTACCATTTAACAGCTAATGACTGACGACGGAGAGAGGGAGGTATTTCAAGCATGTAATCGCCTTTTTATCAGTGTTATTTTTCTATGGTTTTCATTAACCCTGCAGCAGGTGATGCAGCAGAGACGTCAGTGCAATGCGTGTGCGAAGGTGGCACTTTATGTGTGTTCTTGATGTATTCATACGGTTTCACTGACAATCCTGTATGTGGGGTGATAACCGTTTTCAGTTTATACATTTGTGTTTTAATGTCTGGTTTAATCCATAAATTCTTTGTGTGAGTGTTTGTGCACTTTTATGGGTGAGTTGTGCTTAGCGTGTAATAACATCGGTTTGTATTTTGTTTCATTATATGTGTGTTAATGCGATTGTTTACAGATGTATGTGTGTTTATGTGGATGTATTTTGTGTGCATGCATGGTTGAATTATATTTATCCATAAACTCATACTGTTCTGGCTGTCTTGTTTGTGATGATGTTGATGATGACAGGGTAAATTCAGGGAAAACTGATGCATTAAGTGCTTTTTAACAGCAATAATTTGTTTTATGTCACTACACAAAGGTGTTAATGACAAAAACTGTTGAAAAATAATAAAACAGCCCCAATGGTTTGGTGTGTTGAATTTATAATAGGCACTGGGGTGCTTCCTTTTCTCTTTCTTCAGCTAAGGCCTTCACCACAGGTTTCATCCCCTTGCTTATCTGCACTGACCCATCCATTGACCCAGTGTTCTCACTCCTCCTTTTCTCTGTATCTTTCCCTCCCCACCTAACCTTACACCTCCCTCCGTCACTTCTCACTTTCCTTCAACTAATCTCCTTCTAGTTCACCCACTCCTCAAAATGCCTTCCCCCCTCCTCTCCTTTGATCCCTCAGCATGGTCCTATTTCCTCTACTACCCACTTTGTTTTGCTTTCAACCATTCTTTTGTCTCTCTCTGCCCATCCATCTCATACCTCTGTTTCAAATTATTTCAATTTTTCTCTGTTTCTGAATGTATTTTATGTCTGACACATTTTTCTTTTATTTTTTGATTGCTTGGGATTATACGGTAAGAAGAGGAAAGGGAAAAGAGAAGGAAGACATTTGACATGGGTTCCAGGCAGGATTCAAACCCAAGATTAAGCAATCACACGTCTAGGATCACTGAGCCACTGGGGCACCCCTTAGTAATTTCCATACACTTGTTGGGATCTTCATTGCCAGCTACAATCAAAACATGGGTAGTGAGATGTACGGTAATGTGAATGCATGCAGTCTAAAAGAATGGCACAAATGGAAGGGAGTAGCCTTGGTTCAGGCAATGCTAACTAAGACAAGCAAGCACTTGAATAAGCAGGCAATTTACTCAATTCAATAAAGTGAAAAGAACATTAGCTTCAGCAGGGACTCTATTAAGGTGTCTGTTGATGTTTTTAGAGAAAAATAAGCCATCGATGGTGCAGCTGGCAAGCTTGATGTGAACTGATTAAATTATTGAATAAAGAAATGAAATGCTTAAGAAGAGTATAAAGTAACCTGTAGTGTCTTACAATTTCTCTCCAATATTGATAATGGATGGTGTTGTTAGCCTGCCCAAACATTTTCTCACCACATTAACTGCTTCTTTTTAAAGCCAGTCAATGAAAAACACACAAATAATGCAACTTTTCTTTTTTTGTTAACAGCTGGTCCTATAGTTGGTTCAACATTTTAAACTTCATATTTTTCCCTCGTCTCAAAAGAAAGCAACTCTTGTCTATTTGCACACCTCGAATACATTCATATTTTTGCTGTATGCCATTATCTTGCCGCTGATACAACCCAACCACCCTGCAGGAGCTGGTTCGATTTAATCTATTCTTCTATACAATAACTTCCATCCCCTCCTTCTGAACTTTTTTCCCCTCTGTCACCCTTTTCTGTCCTCTGTCTTCTTTTTCTTCAATGATTTGATTGTCCTCTTTGTCACCCCTACCCTTAGACCTGCTTCATCTCCCCCTATCCAGTTAATTATATCTCTTCCTGCCTTCTCCACTTTTTCCCTTGTACAGAACATTCCACACATCTTGGTTTTCATGCCTTATCACTTTGTCAACTTCCCCTCTGTTTCTGCACCCATCTCTTTCCCTTCATCTCTCTCTGTTTGTGAGCTCCTCCCTGGCCAAAAACCACTTCAGCTAGATGCTGCCTGATAATATCGAAATGGGCTTGAGACATTAGTAGCGAAGGAACTTCACATACGTCTGAAAGACCCCCCAAACACACTTCAGGAGAGGGGACAAAGAGAAGACATTTAGCTGGTATGGCCCATCTTCACTGATGCAGTGACATGGGAATCAACAGTCTGTGCTGTTGTTAGACATTGTGAGACAATGGTAGATCAGACTGAGCTGAGTATGGAGATCTAGCATAAGTGTTATTGAGGAGCCTCTGGTTGTAAGTATTCAGTTTTTTCCTATCCTATTTGTAAAATAAATAAATATATAAATCAGTTAATCAGTTATCATTTTGAAAAGACTCTGCACTCATTAGCTCACATTAGTGTGAAATGACTTGGTCAGATGCAAACTGTGTCCTTCATATGATTCAAATAGCCACTAAGAAGGTAACAAACTCTATTCCACGTGTAAATTGTGGAAACTGAGCACTACATGTGTTCATGTGCATGTATCAGTGGAAGGCTCCACTTGGTAACAGCCTGACCCTTGTACACAGTAGCCAGGAGGGATTTTGTTCTCTCTGTCAAGCCTGTCAGACTGCCAATCACCAGCACACCTCTTTCTGCAGTGAGCCGATTATAAGCCAGGAGCACACTGTTACCACAGGTAACGCTGCAGCTTAGATTTTTACATAACAATGCGTTTTTTGTCTAAATTGTGTGGTGTTTTTATCTTAGTAATTATTCAGAAGAACATACACTTAAATATTCTACCACGACTAAAATATTAACAACAAGGGTAACTCATAAAGTGAACCAGTGCGCAAGACTGCTTGTCTGACACACATGCATAATCAAAAAATAATTGAGAGTACTTACTTTAGGTCCTGGAAGGGTTCTGCCCGTACATGTGATGTCTCTACGGAATGGCTAAACACCACGCCTTCATTCCCTGTAGAGAGGGTAAGCGAGGATGAAAGGAAGGAAAAGAAAACACATACATCTTTTGTGTGAAGGGCTACACAATATTGCATCATAACTCTGTTCTTGGAGCTGAGGCAGATACTTAAAATGCATCACATATCACATTTGTGTTCAGATCCTCCATGATACAAATTATCATACAACTACTTTCAAATGAGAGAATACTTCTAGTAGCAATATATATATATATATATGTATATATATATATATATATTATGGTAACTTGTGGCATACTTTGGAGACAGGGCTGTATGTTGGAAGTCAGTGTTGACTTTATTATATAAATGTTTAATCAAAGTAATTTAAACTACCTCAGTTATCCTTTATTGCTGAGTCCTTACATTCAGTATTTGTTTCTGATGTGTTAATAAAAAATGTGAACCAGATGGCACTACATTGCCCCAAAACACATTTTACTGAAGCAAAGTAGTTGCATTCAGTATGGACATAATTGTCCCCTATAAATGGTTGGCTCTGATATAATGCAGTGTTTAACCCCCCATGTACAGCAAGCACCTCTGCTTTAGCCTGCAGCCCTGAACAGATGCTTTGGGAAAGTGCTGGTCATGGCTCCTGCTGAGACTCTAGAAAGCATGCTGGATATTCAGCACTGCTACAACACTACACAAAGCAACTTTGCCCATTGGCAGGCCCACAGATAACAAAAGTATACTTAAATTGTTCTTTGAAACTGAAGCAACATAGTCCAAGTTTATTTCAAGGAGATTCAAGGAGGACCTGTGGGGAGGATGAGGACCACTGTCTCCAAAAATCTCCCATCTGTTGTACCTCCAAAGGACTTAAACTTGGAGAGCTGTTGCATTTGTTAAGCTTTTCTGAGGTTTATTCCAAGGCTCACTGAACATAGCACACATATGTATGTCTGTGCAACTGCCAACAAAATTCAAAGAAGAAGAAAGGCTTCCCGGTTCTGTCAATAATGGAAAATTAGGGATGTCCCAATCAAGATTTTAGCCACCGATCCGATTCGAGTCATTTAATATTGAGAATCTGCTGATACCAAGTCCCAATCACATACTTGTATTTTTTTCAGATAATAGTGCACAGTGCACACGTTAAGTACATACAAGTTATTAAACTCAACCCAATGTATATGCTTGACAATTGAATAGCTTTACATTGCATAAAGAAACAAAATGCCAAAATTGAAGCTGTTACCTAATGATTTTTTTAAAGGCATTTTTATACACAAAGTATACAATAAAAAATGATCTGTAATCTTTTTGGTCTTGTTGCTGTCTGGAGGGAGTTTCTCTCTCCAGTGTTTGTTGCTTTAGTGAAGCTTTAACCCACGTGAATGAAATGTATTTTGCGTGAGTGTTTATTTCCATCGTCCATTAGTTAATTACTCTTATTGTCTTTTTGTTCACAGGTTCACGTTTGTTGCACTTGCAGAGGCTATGTCGGATATCTACTGCTTTCTCCTCCCTCACACACACAGAGCAGAATGGAGAAAAAGAGACAGCAAGAGTTGACAATGGTTGCATCGTGCATTAGAGCTTCATGAGTAGAAACAGCTGTATGACAAAAACAAAAGATTGGATTGGATCAAAAAAGCTCAACATAGCCTATGCCGATAAAAATGCCTTGATTTGTGCTGATACTGATCGTTTATATCGGAGATCGGACTGGGACATCCCTAGTGAAAATAGCAGTGTGTGTTATTTCTGATTGCTACTCTATACAGGGATGTCCATGTTTCTTCCAGTTTCTGAATGTGTTACTTTTGGTTACACCTCTATAATTACAATGTTCTCTAAGCACTCTGCTATGTAAATTAAATGTTTATACGCTTGTCATAGCTTGTTGGGTGGCACCTGTCCTGGTACACAATACCCATGAAGTGTTTTCAAAGCAGAGCCAGTACATTGGAACCAACACAATTCATACTGGGTATATATGTATACGCATGGAAATCAAGCCCACTAGTATCACATACCTCACTAGCTGCCATGGAACTGGCTTGCATTGGCTGATTCTCATAAACAGCAGGCTTACATGTAACCTTCCACATTAGCTGTGCAGTATTTGCTGTACTCCTCTTGCTACTGCAGTGGGCAGCAACATGTGGAAACATTGTTCATTTAAAATTTAAAAAAGAGTATCTATTTACAAATCTAAATAATAAACAGTAGCAAGAGCTGAACAGATGTGTTCATATTTGCATTCTTTCCATTGTTCAGCTTCTTTTCTCACCTCCTCTAATGGACACATCAATTACCTAGGTGTGTGTCTGTGTGTGTATTTGTGTAGTCCACCTTTAAAGTTGAATTTGTGTGTTTGTGTAAATGCATATTTTTTATATAAAATACTACTGATATATTTTAACATAAAAGCAAACACAGATGTAAACACACTCACATTTTCTCACTTTCATTTAATAAGAGAGAAAAAAGTAAAAAGAAAACAAGAGACAAACAGACATTGTAGTCCACCAAAGGACAATATTCCCATCTCATTTCTTAGCTTTTTTCTTTTTCATTTTACTTAAAGTGCTTTGTTTTTTTTCCACTGCAATTATGCTCACCTGGCTTTGCTCTGACCTCTCAATGATCTGTCTCGTATTCTCTTTCTTTTGATACCGTCCTTTTAATTACAATTCAGGCAGCAACAAGTTATGACAATGTCCTTATTATAATTATGTCAGATATCTGGATACAAAATTAATTTCAGTTTAGGGGAGCATTGTGTGTCAGACAATTAACCTGTCTCACTCGGCCCTAGGAGCTGGAGCTTCTAACCAATTAATCTGTACTGCACAAAAATCTGGGGATATGAAAATTGCCTGAATTAAAGAGACCTAATATTAAAGGAGGCCTGTGGAGTTTTCTTTTTTACAAAAAGAATTTATGTTTATTACATTCAGTGTTACTCACCAAAACATATTGTGTATATTTGCAAGCTCTAACAAATGTGTTGAATGTATTCATAAAACACTTGCAATTTTTGTATATTTTATTAAGTATTTTGAATCCGGACATCCATCCATGTTTTCTTTCTGGCAGTCTACATTCCCCACCATTGCTGGTGCATTGCTGCTTTTTGTGGTGTGTTACCATCACATGTGGATCCGTAGAATAGCATGAATCACTGTCAGGACTGTGCATCAACCCCATGCACACGTATAAGCATGTGCGTCCTCGTGTGCGTGCACAAGATCAGCAAAACTGGGAACCACTCAGCACAGCTCCTCAGTGCTAATAGAGGTAAAAAAAAACTCCACAGGGAACCTTAACAGAAACATTACTGTAAAAAAAAGCTATATTACTTCATTTTGCATAAATGTATATAGTACAATATTAGTAATAGTATATAGTACCTACCTGTGACTCTAAGTTTCTCGGTGCCGATGCTGATCTCTTCTTCATCTGCAGAGAACAGAACTCTCTCTCCATCTGTACTCCTCACCTCAAACCTCTGACACTGGGCCTCTACCATTTCTGAACCTGAGAAGGTGTGAAAGAGAAAGAGAGAAAGGAGCAGTGGGTTTCAATTTATTGCAAAACTTTCACAGCACATTAAACATACCATCTGATGTTTTTATCCAAAGTTTCTTACAGAACCATTAGTGTATGTAGGTATAGCTTCAGTGACCACTAAAGGATAGAACTTTGAATCCCAGCATCTTTAAGTTTTGTTTTGCTGTGACACCAGTGCAATATGAGTACAGATATCAGGACAACTAAGATGATCCACACTGTTGTGATATATAGAAAAATGAATTTTGTCTATGGAACAATGTCCCACTTAGTCTCAATAATCCACAGAAAAAGCTGTGTTGGAACTACTTTGTACTAAAGAAACAGTCAGTATGAAAACTAAGACCCATTCACTTCAACTGGGGTGGCAGCATATATAACAGGGAAGATCTAAAAAACTCAAACTCAAACCATAATCTGCATAGCTAGATACAAGGCCTGTAAAAGTATGTGTATTCGCCTGAGACAGTTTCGGTATGTGACATCCTCAGTTCAGTGCACATTATAACCCAAAGAATAACTGTCAAAATAATCAGCTTGATCTCATTCCCAGGACGTCAAATACCAATGTTTTGTCATGGCTCTTTGGCATCTCATACAGATGCACAAGCTACCCTTTAGTGTCTCTATAAGACATACCATATTTTATGTAACTCTGGTGTAACTGTGTAAGGTGTAACTGTGTCAGGTGACATAGTGTAAACAGCGCTGTGACAAAGCTGTTTAGGTATTTGTTGACCAGGGATGAGAACATGTTCAAATAGTTTATTTATGTCTACGTACTGGCATGCACGGAACAGAAATTCTAGAGATCAAGTTTTACCCAAGTTTTGGTAATGCACCAGTTGTTGTCTATCAGCTATATGTTAGTCAGCCCGGTTTGTAGTAGTGTTGCTGCTCCGCTATATAGTGGAGTTTAAATTAACACTGACATGGTCAGATAGTAGATTTGTTGCTGGTGCATTTTCAAGCAAAGGCTGGCAGTGAGGTTTGAAAAGTTGATCAATCTACTGACAAAGTTGACAAATTACCAACAGTGGTCTCGATGGCAGTTTGCCTTTACTTCATTTTGTTCAACCGTGTTTCCCTTCATTTTGTGATTTGGGCTGTGATGTGCTGCAGGAGAGAGCAGACTGTTGAGCCTAAAGAAAGTCTCTCTCTCCCTATCCCCTTCCTTCACTGTCTGGGCTCCCAGGCTATTACAAGTGTCAATTAGAAACCCAGAGTGCCTTGTCAGTAATAATCAAACTTTATTAGCAGCCATCAATCTGGGATGAAGTTCTTTTTTCTCATCTCTCTCTCTTGCTGTCTTTATCCTGTCTATCTCTCCCTCCTTAAGCCTCTCACTCCTCCACCAACAGTGTGAAAAAGCAATTGAGATTTGTGTTGTGAAAGGCTCACCCTAAAGCAAGGTGTGTGTGTGTGTGTTTGTTACAATTGTATGCAAAGGTTTAGCAGATTGAGGGGTTGGGGTTGACAGAGATGGGAGAAGTATGGTGAGAGGGGAATGAAAGAAAAACAAGACTCGTGTTTAAGAAAGGAAAGATAAAGAGAATGTTAAGCTAGTTTAATTTGGAGATGTGCGGTGCTAGTTGCTGTCTCAGACCTAGCTAGTTCTCTTTGGTTGTTCAGCTCTTGTCCTTTAATAGAGCTCGTAGTGCAGATTTCCAGCATGGGTGTAGGTCAGCATATTTCCAAAGATTTGTGTTTTATTCACAGAATAAAAAAACATCTTGTCTTCTCAGTAGGAGTGTACAAAAGATTCTAAAACAGTGGAAGTTGGGCAGCCTCACATGATAGTGAGAACTTGGAAAAATGTAAGAAAAGTTCTAGTATAATAGGCACATTTCAGACATACTGTGGAAGAACAGTAGCATCAGACAAAAAGGTTATAAAAGACAACATGTGCCTGTTTATAATTTATTGCCTATTTTCAGATAAGAGTCAGCAGCTGCAATACAAAGGTATGAACAATAATTTTTAAATTATCTGGTCTTTAGCTACAATATTATGACTCAACCTTTTCTTTGCACTGGGGCTTTAATATGTGATTACATAAGAATTGGGCCTATGGCTTTCACACTCAATTGAAATTAACCTGGGAAGAAAAAAAAGGTTTATATACAAAGCAATGTGGTGCTCTGTATGTGTGCAGCAGCAACATGAGACAAAATTATTCTTTTCAAATGATTGCTTAGAGAAAAGGATTGACAGAGAGTGGAGTGATGGCTGGAGGAAACATCTCCGTTGAGCAGTTTTACTTTATGCAAATGAACAGTGATGTGGTGTTGCAAAGGAAAATTAAACGGTAGATGTGTTCACTTTGTGTGTTTTTTATGCTGTGAAACTTGTTTTGAGTTTTGCTCTAATTGATGTGTCATTCAGTAATCCTCTAAACATCGAAATGGAAGAAAGACTTATTATAGCTACAGTCACTTCTGAAATGTTTGTTCTGAATGGCTTTTAACAGTGACAGCAGGGAAAAGAGTAAAGCATAAAAAGCACGGAATATCAAGGTTCTCCATAGCAAAATTTAGACACTTTGAAATTACACAACTACATTGTGTTAAGTGTCTCCCGTCATTGTACACATTTAGTTGTCAACAGTGTGAGGAGTGGTTTGTCCAATAATAACTATCAGATCTTTTTGGTTCGTGTTAGTGATTAGCAGGTAGCTAATTTTAATTCTGTGTAAATCAAGTGCTTTGGGTCAATTTATTTGCTCCTGCAAACGTCTCTCCCACTGATAACACTAAAAGTAATTCTGCTGTCACCAATGACAACAGGACTCCTCGTTAGGCAGACATGTTAATTGATGCACTGACTTAAATAATCACTTCCTGACAGGATCTCCTCTGTTGTCACAAGTGCCTCGCTCAGCAGGATCCTTCAGTAATAATAAAGCTTTGAGAATATCTCACTGATGAAGAGAGGTGCTAGAGAAAGAAACTGTGAAAAAAGGAAACAGTACAGTGCATGTGACTGAGGTCCTGTGTCAGATCTGAACTTTTTAACAAGCATGTGACATGAGCTTCAGTCTGCTGAGTCAATAGGGTGCCCTGTAGTTATCACAGGCATTTTATTGTTTTCACCATGGTGCTAAAGCACTTCGCGGTTTATTACCACTTTGAAACAAAAACACTACATTTAATTTGCAAGAATAAATGCATGCTAAAATAACTTTTGCCTATTCATACCAGCCTGCTGCAGGTTGTCGTGGTTCACACAAACGTCTTCTGGCAAATATAGTTCCATACACATCCCTGCTCAACATATGTATCAACACTGAGGTCATGGTCAGGTCTGCAATATTTACACTGATTTCGTATCCAGATACACTAAAAAACTTATTTTCTTTATTTGGTCATCTCCTTAAAAGTTATAGCAACAAGTGATATTCTACAATCAGCTTTGATCTTAAATGAGTATAAGAACAAAGTCATGTCATTACACTATCAAACTTTATCACAGTTTGAAAACTACTGTCAAATATGTGTTCTTCTTCAGTTCTTCATTTTACTTTGCCTCATCAACATCAGTTTGGTGGCTGAGGCTGGAGAAAGTGCTTCTAATTCACATCTCCAACTCAGTGGTACCCACCCTAACCGGATTACCGGTTTCTTTTCCTCACAACTTTCCGTTAACTTTGCCTCTGAGCTCCTTTTGTTTTTGGAATTCAAGTTCTGAATGGAGGTAAAAACAAAATAAATAATTTATTAAACTTTTCACATACTTCAATGGGATTCTAAGTTCTCCAATTTGTACTCTGTAATTAATGAGAGGACATTAAAATGGCCCCTGTGTAACTTTTTTACTACTGCACATTAAAGCATTGAGGCCATAATAAAGTTATATGGGTTTGCTATCCTGGATTTTAAATTTGAGGCTTTAAATTAGGGCTTCTAGCAATGATGGAATATGACGCAAGAAGACGCTGTAAAAGGATTGGGGGATAGGTACAAAGAAGAGTGTGGCTAAGCCATGTAAACACTGCATGCATGGTTAATTTTTCCTAAACAGGTCAAGATGAATTTTTAATCAAAGTCAGCTTTAGTGCACTTTGTGATTATGCCTCCCCACCACCCTCACCTTTCTTTTCCTCAGTAGCACACTCCTGGAGATTAAACATCACAGGAGTGTGTGAAACAGTATGTGACATTAATGTAATTATTTGTTCTCTGCATATGTGTCTGGCCTTGAATAGTTTTTGCATACATGCAAATTTTCATATATGAATGCTAATTCATTCTTCAGCCCAGAAACACTTCTAAAATTAGGCACTTTTTATCCTTTGGCTATGTAGAGAAAGTCGATCATATTTTGTCTAATTTAAATGACTATAGTTTTCCTTAGGTCAGAATTCTGGCAATATGCTAAATGCAGCATTAAGGCTTTTAAGTAAAATATAAGGTTATATAGCTCAGACTTTTAGTGTCCTAAATGGTTAAATGTGGATTTTATGACTGTTTTTTAAATATTTCTCTGGCAGCCTTTAAAGCTTGGCATGGTCTGGCCATTGGCAAAATCATTTTTCACCTTTTATGAATTGAAGTACAGCCTGGGATCTCCAGGCACGGTCCATTCAACAGCTACATAGTCTAGACTAAAAGGTTAGGGCTGCTTCAGCAAGAGCATCAGCAACATCTACTTTCTGGAGCCATAATAGCATAGCCTGAAAGGATTTGCCCGAAAATAAAAGGTGCAAGGACATCTTTATAACTTTACTTTTACCTTTTCGAAAATGTCTGTGATATACTTCATACTGTCCTTTATTGTGAGAAAAAGTGATACTACACTGTAGTGGCTAAATTGGGCACTGCTCTACTTTGTGGGCTATTCACAGGCATAAATGTCATATATATGATGCTTTTAACAGTCTTCTTCAAATTCATATGAATCACATTTAAAGCCTACAGGGTGTTTGCACCTTCAGAACCGTCTTTTAAGTTTTAAGAAACAAACTATTT